TGAAGGATGCAGTCCTGTTGCTAGCATTGAAGTAAGATTCTAGTCAGCCTCTCTCTGTGGAATGGAGCGAGCACCACCAGAGAGTCTTTCACCTCAGGCAGCAAAATGTCATAGGCCAGCCAGGCTAAAGGGGGCACAACAGTGATGGGAGGAGGACAAGTTATCTCTTCTCAAAATTCAGTACAAAGCTCATTGTCACAGCTTTAGAAGTTGGAAGTGGTAGAGCGTTTTGCTTTGCATACCCCAGGTGCAATTCAGAAACATTGGGAAGGCAGCAGGTTGGCTATTCCTGCGCTGAGGAGTAAGCTGCACTTTCCAGTGAGACACTCCCTGTCACTGAGGGTCAGACCACTGGACTGCCTCTGATATAAATTTCTGCAAGAGGCTAATTATTTCTTCTCTCGATGACTATGGTAGATACAAGGGAGCTGATCACTTGGTAGGCCCTCTGTTTTTGTGCATCTGTTACTGTAGTTAATAGCCCTCGCAGGTGTACAAGGCATGGGCCTACGTAAATAGCACTCAAGTTTCATTCTTTACAGAAAGGAGGACACAGGAGTATTTTCCCACATTGCTCACCATATGTTTTGCCTGACTCAATGTATTTTAAAATTTAACACACTGCCTCATACAGAATCACAGTAGCAAAGCCACGGGAGCCTCCCAGTGGCTCCTTATAAATCAGAGTGCTCCACGCTGTTTTGCTTTGGTGACATGTCGATTCTGTCCCTTGAGAATATCAACATATTGTTCAGCTGGTACAAATATAAGCTTTTAATCTGGTGCATGTTTATGTTCAGTCACAATCAACTGAATAAAGTGTTAATTTAGCTTGCTGCTGCTACCCAAGGGCAGTGAATATATATTAATGAAATTGTCAAATGTGAGGTTTTTTTCTTTGTCAGGATGTCAATTTCTAGTGCTAGTGAGCTCTTCCAGGCTTAATTTAGAAAAGTGGAGCTATTCTCCTACCCCCACTCCCCAACTGAAAAATACCTCAGATTATTCCAAGCTAACCTGACCTGATTTGGAATATATCATGCCCTAGTTGAGGGTGCAATGGTGTCCAAAGTTTACCTGGCCCCCATGAGTATCAAGTACCCTCTCCCTTCCATCTCCAAAAGCCTTCATTACCCAATCCATCCACCCCTTTTCTAGCCTGACTGCTGGTGGCAGCAGTATATCTCCCGCTTCCCACTTCACCAATGTACTTCAATATACCACCGCTAACACTTCACTGGCCAGAAAGAAGTACCGTATTTTTTGCACCATAACACTCACTTTTTTCCTCCTAAAAAGTAAGGGGAAATGTCTGTGCGTGTTATGGAGGGAATGCCTACTGGTGGCATGCCTACGGATTTTCCTCCTCTAAAAACTATGTGCGTGTTATGGTCGGGTGCGTGTTATAGAGCAAAAAATACGGTAGAATTGAGAATGGCTGGGGAGAGGCGGTAGTTGGAAGTAGGGAAGAATTTGAATTATTCTCTGTCTAAGATTTTTAACAGAGCTGGAGAAGAATTCAGGGGTTCTAAATGTTGCCTTGTATTTGAAGTAGGCATTACAAGTCCCTGAAGTTCATATTTCTGAGCCAGGAAATTTAAATCTTGATGACATCTTCACCAATCTCCATTCCCTTTTTGGGATCCAATCTTACCAATTGCAATTACCCAATGCCAATAGTAACATCAGGGCCTTGCCTGTAGACATCAAGGACTGAACCTGGGACTTTCTGCATGCAAGACCCATGTTCTACCACTGAGAAGGAGTTCTTGGCAGAGTTATTTAAGAGACATGATTGAACTGGTAGTGCAACAGAGCCCTACAAATTCCTGCCAGAAAGCAATAGTGCTGTCAGGAGTCAAGCATCCCAACAAGGTGGCTGTCCTCACTTGAGATCATTGTCTTGTATGTAGCTACACTCTTCACAATTTCTTGCTGTTACTTAGATATACAGCAAAATAGATGGTCCACATGTACTTGCAGGAACAATATTAGCAAATGGATGGGTAGAAAGTGAATGCTGCATACATTATTGATGGAGAATCCCATTACAGCTCATCAGAGCTGATGGTTGTATTATTGTATTAGATTACTCTGAGTACATAAAGCCAGATCTCGTAGAAGCCATCTAAATTGCAATTATGAAAAGAAACAGTGCTTCTGCCGATGTGGCTCACTTTACATATAATGATGGTCTGGTTTATGGCTTCTGTGCTGAAAAATTGTCTCAGAAGGATAGACAAACAGAACCTAAATGTTATCAACAGTGCTGCAATGTTGCTGGTGCTGTTGATTGACAGGGGCTCCATTTGACTATATTACATGCCTGGTGCTTTAAAACACACAAAATGCAATGCAAAAAAACAAAACAAAACATCTATTCACATGAGTCCCTGGGGTTTTTAAGCAATCTTCAGATAAAACAACCACACAGTTCTTACACACATCACATTTACAAAAATCCTACGAGAAAGGCGGCAGGCGGAGCCTTATTGAAAAGGGCAAAATGAAAACAGCATTCTTTATTCACCATATTAACTCTAATCACTTTCAAGAAGGGAAACTAATGGAGCGTGTCAAGACCACTTAATACTGGTCACTTGCCCCTTAACTTTCCTAAATCTCGCTGTCACATAGTGTGGGTAAAGTTAAATAAATATGGTGTTTTAGCTTTCTAATTCATGCTTAAGAGTGACGGAGATTTTAATCTGGATTAGGACTGGAACAGAACCAGGTGTGGTACTTATTTAACACAGAGAACAAGCCTGTTAATCCTGAATGTTTGTTGTTAAGCTTAAGCCATTTAAAGTGAAATTTAAAGCAGTTGCTTCTGTCTAGATGCCCCTGCACAGGCTAGAACCATTGTACTCCTCAAGATGGCGATCCTGTAGGGGCGTTCCTATTTAATGTATATCATAGGCCTCACCCGCTTCCCTAAAATGCATTACTTCTGGCAGGCGGGCCAGAAGTCAATGGTTATTCTCAATGCCTATGTCAAACCTCTTACATCTGTAATCAGTAAGAGTTGTGGCCTGATTTGACCCTCAAAAGTAATGCGTCTTGACTTTACAAGATGGGGCGGCAGGTGGGGCAGCATTTGGGTATGCAATTAGCCTAACCCCATCAAGGCCAGGTACTGTACATCAGCTACCACTTGTTCATGCCCTTGCACACTGGATATGCCTGGATTAGACCGCCACATTGCTTCCCTATGCATCTTATCTTTCCCATACACGTGCAATTGCTCCTGTCTGGATTGAGGGCTGCCCTGTAAGTCATTAAAATAAAACAAAATAAAATTGTGCTGAAAATGATACAGGACACATCTGTGCCCAACCAAGCTGTAGAAATTTAGATATTATGGTGCAGAAAATAGTTTGAAAGAACAAAAATTATTTTATACTTCTCAAAGTATGGAATATGGCCAAAGTAATATTCCATTATTTTGGGCTGCTTAAGAAGCAGAAGCAGGCAGTATTTGAAAGAGAAATCTTCTGAGGGGTAGTTGTGAGTGCTTGCAAGTTGAAAATATGAGTGACACCAAGGGAGGGCTGAAAGACAAAGGAGAGAGAGGGTGGGGGAAAACACACACTTTTTCCTATGTTCCCAGCTACTACTATTGCTATTTCTCTCTGACTCCCCATTCTGCCACTTTTTATAGTTGTTTTTTAAAAAACTGGGAGGAAGGAAGGAGGGAGGTTTTTTGTCAGTGGGTTTGTACAAATATTTACATTAAAGTACACTGTCATAGCTTCCTGGCATCAGAATGTAGGCTCAAAGGCTAAATTCTGAACGCTGTAACACATTTTTAAATGCATGTAATCAATAATACTCACATGCTAATACTTATGCCTCAGCGACCACAAAGAAATCACTTGTGTGATCTCTTTGCTGCTATCATCTCACACTTTCCAGTGTGATAAGTTTTTGAGGGTGCAGACCCCCATAACCTCTATGTACAGTGAAGGGTTAGAATTTGAGCAAACCTCTACATTCAGGAATTTAGCAAGGACTGGAAATAATACCAATTAGCTTCCTCATGAGGCTAGCCTCAGAAAGGCTCACTGGAGGTGGTCATTGAAGAAACAGAGGGCTGGTAATGGCCTGGTTTGTTTGATAATGGTAAGCCATCAGCAGAACATCAGACTCTCTGCAGAAAGAGGGACAGAACTCTATGAGCCCTGGCTCGGAAAAGCTGTACCAAGAGACTGGGGAGCATGGCTGGTTTCTGGACAACCTATGAAGCTATGAGGGGTGTGACCAGGACTTGTTTCAGGGGGAACTTAAGGGAACTCAGTTCTGGCACCTCTCAGGTAGGTGCTATTGTCATTCTAAGAGAAAGGGGGAGGTGTTTATGGTGAGTTCCAGCACCTCTTTTTCTAGAAAAACAGTGCTGGATGTGACAAGAGACACACTTGGGGTACAATGCTCTACACCCCTTCTGTTGAAGGCGTTACGTTGTAAATATGTGTGAATAAGGCATATTTGGTAAGGACACTAGCCTCCATTGTGCCTCATTTTCCCTGGTTAAGTGCCAAGAAGCTAGAATCTCTCACTACCTCCAGGCAGAGATTGGGGTGGTAACATTAGGGCTGGCATGTGTCCGGAATTTCCCAGACATACGGAAACAGTCTCCGGATATAGCTCAAAAACTTTGCCGGAAAAAAACTTTTGTGTCCGCATTTTCACTCTTTAAATATGGCAACCCTAGGTAACAGTATTTGTCTGACATTTTTCTTACTTCAAAAATCGCATGGTATTTTGTGGAGGGTGAGAGGGGAAGTGGCCTTGTTGCACAAGAGCATGAAATCCACTTGAATCATACCTATCAAAACAGTGACAGTCTGGAAGCAGCTGAAGAATAATAGCTTTGGCTCAATACTGCTAGCCTACATGCGCTGAACAGCTCAGTTTTGAACATCTGGACCCAATCAAAAGATCACGAGCTGGAAAGCACTCCTAGAAACAAACTTATGTAGCTTAGAGCTTTGCAAAACTTTATTGTGTTAATGAGAGACTGTGGGAGCCTAAACAGCCATTTTAAATCACACAGTTGTTAAGTTTTGTTTTTGCTTGCACACAGCACAGTGCTGGGCAGATATTAAACGGAAGCCTCTAGCGTCAGTTTTCAGGGTGTTTGAAGGTTTAATGCAACAATGGCAGCCATACAGCTCAGATTCTTATTAGTTTCATTTTTTACAAGTATTGCGGGAGAAGCACAATATGTAATGCAAGATGCTGGATTGGTGCATTACATGGACCGCCGAATTCTCTCAATAGAGGTATGTGGGTATATCAGTGATATCTGAAAAATGATTTTATTTTCTGTGTGAAGTGGATGTGTGCTTGGGAAATAAATTGCTTTCCTTTTAAAATGAGCTCGTTTTTACAACTGTAGCTTTGATTATGCACAGTAAAGGTATGAGGAACAGCCCAAATGCAAGGTTGTTTATGAAACTTGCTCCTATTGATTTTATTAGCAAGTAAACGTGCATGCTTGGAATGGGTGCGATCCAGCTAGAGTTAAAACACTTTGAAGTTAGTTGATTTCTCAGTGGAAAGCAAGCAAAGGTTTACATTGTGCTGAACAAGGGCTGTATTGGGCAGGATAGGATCTAGGATATTTTCACTCTTTGGGTAAAAATCCATTTGATAGTCTGTGTGAAATTTGAATGCCACAAGGAGCCATCTACTCCTCAAACAGGACTTCCAATATCTCAATTTCTGACCTTTACTACATAGGTGTTCTGGTTAAGCTAATGAGATTCATTGCATCCATTTTCACAATGCTAAGTGGGAAAATGAAAACTCCTGAATCTTGAAAACACACTTTTTTACTATAGCAGTTGGGTCCCCAACATGATCACCGTGGGCACCATGGTACCCTCATACACCTTGTTGACGAAGGTTGGGAACCCCTCCTGTAGCATTATGAATCATATGCATTCAGTCAGTGGAACAAGCAGTGCTATTTTTCTAGAAAAAGAGGTGCCAGAATTCACCTTGAACACCTCCCTTGTTCTCTTAGAAAGGCAATGCCGGCCACCTAAGAGGTGCTGGAACTGAGTTTTAGCGAGTTCTTGCTGAAAGAAAGCTCTGGTAACAAGCTTTAAGAAGTTATAATTGTTTCAACACTGCATGTGGGTTAGTAGAACAGGAGTTCGCTGTTAACTATGTATTGTACTAATTAGCAATGCAATTCTATATGTGGGTAATAATAATAATAATAATAATAATATCCACTGGGGCTTCCTCCCATGTAAGTGTGCTTAAGATTGCAGTTCTATGTATACTTGCCTAGGAGTAAACCACCCAAAAAATCAATGCTTGCTTTAAAAATCAGTGCCTGCTGTTCTCTTTTCCATTATGAGTGAGAATGTTTGAAATTTTGGGGTGATGTTGACATTTCTTGAGAAAAGGTGCAGGCTAGGTGTTGTGCACACGAAGAAGGACCCATATTTTACTTAGCAGGAGTCCATTAACTTTCACAAATCCTCGACATGAAGGTTTTTAGCATCGTTCCATCTTCAGGCCAGGTCAATAGCAGCACAGGAATGCTTCAGCAACAACAAAGCTGGCAGTTCTGCACCACCTCTTCTCAAAGGGTTTACAATCTGAGGTAGATGGGCACAGCAAAGGGAGCAAAGTCAGGAAATGGCAGTGATTAATGGAGATAAGTTAGAGGACAGACAAGTAAGAGGCAGTGAAGAAGCAAGCAGGGTGAAGCCAAGATTATGCGTGATTACTACAGCTGTCACTTGATACGGCTGAATAACTGCTATAATCAATCATTGTGTGATCAATTGTCATGGCTTGCTGCCTATTATCTCCTCAGACAGTCACGCCAAGATTAGAACCAGGCTGGCAGGTGATAGCTATAGAGATGTCAATGAGACTGCTTTGTCCTGACTCACAGAGCCAGGGGTTTATAATACTCACCTCAAATAGGAAGTGAGAATTACAACCCCTTAATTCTTCCCTGGCTCAGATTTCAATCCAATTTGATGAAGAATTCCACTGCTCCCTGCCCCCAGGTCTGCCCATCACTCAGCCAGTCCTCAAACCTGCATCCTCCCACCCCCTTTCACTTCTAACCACTTACCAGGTTGTGGATATTACTCCAAGAAAGGAGGTCTCTCCCACCCACAGTTCCTCATATACTGCTGTTTGGTGTCCCAGGCATGAGAAATATGTTTTCCCAAGAGTTAATGATATCCAGTAGTTCTGGATGGGGAGAACACCTAGAACTTGCCCCCCAGATCTGAGGTTCCCTGTGCCTGATTTATAGGGTAGGAGTGGTGGGTGACAGAGTGTGTTTCTGATCTTACTTCTTCCATGAATTTGCAGTTACTCCAGTCTTTTGTGATGTTACACGATTGATATGCAAGCTCACGTATTTGCAATCTCCATACTTCTATTTTTCAAGACAGGCAGGTAGGAAAAAAGGGTCTTTGCCTTCCCTTCTCTCACACAATAGCTCCAGTCAAGGAAAGAAGGGGAAGCTGGCTTTGGAGGAGCTGCAAAGCTGGAGCTCTGAGTAACTGTACTCAGCGGACTCTTTTCTTTGGCTCTGTCCCCTCCAGCTGTGCAACATCTGGATCAGCAGGGGCCTCACTGGTGTCTTCCGCCAGCACAGCTACTATTTTTGAAGCCTCCTGGAAAATAAATCAGTAGGTTGTGGTGAAATTTTGCACTCAGCTGTTCTCAAACATTTTGTAAATACCCCCCCCCCCCCCATTTTTATGTGTCATATGACAAACACATGTTTGTATATATATATATATATATATATATATATATATATATATATATAATAATAATATAGTGTACCATACAGGTATACTAATCCTGGAGCCAGGACTTGGTTTTTACTCCCTGTCAAGTTTATACTTGGTAGCAGTCCTGCATTTGCTCTATTAGTATGTGAAAAAATTATGTATTTGAGGCAAATCCAGTGTTTGGGATTGATGGAACCCTGGAGGCAGGAAGAATATATTTGTGCTGATGTATATTTGAATAGGGAAAATCCATAAAGAACAGGAAAAGCGCATTTATACACCCAAAAGTCCATCATAGTTACCAGCAGTGATACTGCTGTTTTCTGGATAAAATAGAGGCTGAACTTTTTAGAATACAATGGTACCTCAGGTTACATATGCTTCAGGTTACAAACGCTTCAGGTTACAGACTCCGCTAACCCAGAAATATTACCTTGGGTTAAGAACTTTGCTTCAGCATGAGAACAGAAATTGTGCTCCGGCGGCGCGGCAGCAGCAGGAGGCCCCATTAGCTAAAGTGGTGCTTCAGGTTAAGAACGGTTTCAGGTTAAGAACGGACCTCCGGAACGAATTAAGTACAGTCATACCTCGGCTTGAATGTGCTTCGGGATGAGCACGTTACTTCCGGGTTTCGCCGCTTGCACATGCGCAGAAGCTCAAAATGACATCATGCCCATGCGCAGAAGTGCCGAAACGTGACATGCGCAGATGCGCTGCCATGGGTTACGTTTGCTTCTAGATGCGAACGGGGCTCTGGAACAGATCCCATTCGCATCTAGAGGTACCACTGTACTTAACCTGAGGTACCACTGTATTCTTTTATGGGGGGGGAATAAATTACAATTCCGCCAAATAATTACGTGGGTTGTGTTTTTTTCATTGGGCATACATGTTGCTTATATAAGAATACAGTTTTCAAACTCTTTTCTCATTCAGTACATTTACCTTGTACCAAAACAACACTCCTAAAATGTCCAGTTTCCAACTGTTCCACAGTACATGCCTAGACATGTCTACTCAGAAGTAAATTCCACTGTTTGTAATGGAGCTTACTCCCAGGTAAGTGTGTATTGGATTGCACACCCAGCTCCTTAAAAAAAATCTTTCTGTCCTTTTGGGCCTCATTGCGCTTCAACTTAGGACCAAACTGGCCAGTTTTACCTCACATAGTTGTTTCTTGTTTAGTAAGCACTACAGCAGGACTGAGCCATCAGGAACATGGTGGCAGGGAATGACTTTAAAACTTTGTCCCTGCCATGGTCCCAATCAGAATTACAGCCCTTGTCTGCCATTTGCAATGGGAAGCTCTTGTTGAGGAAACAGGTTCCAAGGCAGCCATGTGAACTTACCCTCAGTCTGCCAGGATTCACGTAGAAAACAGTGCTGGTGGCGTGAGAGATAAGATGCCAGAGCCTGACCTCTGGGAATTCTGACTTGAGACGTGACCTTCCACCACCACCCTCCAAGGGCCATACTGCATGCTTCAATGCTAAAATTAATTTTAGAAAAATCTCTTAGTTACGGTAAGCCAGAAGAGAAATGGAATGCTGACCAAAGCAAACAAGAGGGACAATAAAGTAATGGAATGCAGCTTACCAAATCAAGGAAGTTGTTTTTGGTGGTTTCACCAGTGACCTTCTCATAAAAGAACATTAACTTTAGAGTACTTTCTCAGTGGGGTTCTCCTAACAAGCCTTCTGCAGATTTCCTGGTGGAGAGGGTGGGAATATGACCTCACCCCACTTTTCTGCATTATTCCCAGATATAAATTTGCACTGTGTCCCTTCTCAGCCTTCCTTATTCCTAGGGGCATCTCTGCATGTGTTTTTAACATATCAGAGTGTTGTTTTCCATATGAGCAAGCCCACGATTGGGATCACGGGTGGCGCTGTGGTCTAAACCACAGAGCCTAGGGCTTGCTGATCAGAAGGTTGCCGGTTTGAATCCCCGCGATGGGTGAGCTCCCGTTGTTCAGTCCCAGCTCCTGCCCACCTAGCAGTTTGAAAGCACGTCAAAGTGCAAGTAGATAAATAGGTACCGCTCTGGCGGGAAGGTAAATGGTGTTTCCGTGCGCTGCTCTGGTTTGCCAGAAGCGACTTAGTCATGCTGGCCACATGACCCGGGAGTTGTCTGCGGACAAATGCCGGCTCCCTCGGCCTATAGAGCGAGATGAGCATGCAACCCCAGAGTCATCCGCGACTGGACCTAACGGTCGAGGGTACCTTTACCTTTAAGCCCACGATTGACCCAGGACTCAGCTATACAGCTGCAAATACAGTGGTACCTCGGGTTAAGTACTTAATTCATTCCGGAGGTCTGTTCTTAACCTGAAACTGTTCTTAACCTGAAGCACCACTTTAGCTAATGGGGCCTCCAGCTGCTGCCGCACCACAGGAGCACGATTTCTGTTCTCATCCTGAAGCAAAGTTCTTAACCTGAAGCACTATTTCTGGGTTAGCGGAGTCTGTAACCTGAAGCGTATGTAACCCGAGGTACCACTGTATAATGTTTTGTGTTTAAGTGCATTATACAAATGTGACACTAGATGGTGCAGATGAGCTTGCGGCTAATTCCGTATATATTTTAAAACGTTTTCTTTAAAAAAGTATTTCCACAGTGTTTTTTATATCTGTGTAGATCCACTTCCACTGTCTCATCCTTCCCCCATGGTAAAGGACTGCATGTACTGTATCTGTTACTCTCCACTGCATTCAAAATGCGATGTGTGGCATGGATGTTCTATGCAGAGGCTCAGTTCACATGCTTCCTCCTCTTTTTCTAGAAAAATAGCATAGGTTATGTGCATGGTAGGGAAAAAATGCAGGTGCCTGCTCTGTCATGGAAAGAAGATCATTGCTGGCGCCATAAGCTTAGGAACCAGCTCTAAATATGGAGCAGACCATCTATAAGGGACTGGATAATTAAAATCTGGAATACAGTTTATATGGTGAGAATCAGAGAAAGCAGACAACTTGACCTCTTTCTAGAAAAACTACATCTCTTCATAAATTATTGGTGTAAATAAGATTCAAGACCATGTAAATCTGTATTACTCAGAATTTGGCTTATTTTTGAATTATTATTTTTATTTTATTTTGCTTTTGTTCTTTGTTCTGGTGGTTGTTGTTGTTGTTGTCTTTGCTTTGCTTTTGCAAGGTTTAGAATTTGCATTTTTTTAAAAAAGAAATTTGAAAACTGATTGCAACATTACAAAGGAAGCTTTTCAGATAGAATAAACGAATAAGGAACTTGGCACCATGCATACGGATTCATTCTCAGAGTTTGATCCCAATAATTTCTGGCAACAGACATTCAGTAACATGTCACAGAAACAGGAGACATAGTTAATTCGTCTGAAATGGAGAAAAGCAATGTTATTTTAAATGTAGAGCCTATTTGGGAAAACCATTAAACTAGTTCTCTGTCTATAAATGCCCCTGTCTGTGTTCTAACTAAAGAACAGGTTAAACAAATGCAATCAAGATATTGCAGATTACGTCCAGGAATTCCGAGAGTTTTCCAAGAGGATGATGTCGCGCCTGGAAGGACTCAACGTTTTGAAGACAGATCTTAAAAATGATGTTGACCATTTGCTAACAAGAGTGGAAAGAGCGCAAAGGGAAATTGACTATTTTGAATCGGCAAAGGAGTCCCCCGACACCTGCGTGGAAGTCGACGAGGACCTTGTGGAGCAGCAATTAATGGAACAAGAGGAGTCGAAACAGAAAGTCAAGCTCATGCTCAATGCAAGTAAGAACAGTTTAGCTACAACGTTTTAAAATTATCCTTTTAGGCCAGGGATAGTGAACCTGTGGCTCTCCAGATGTTGTTGGACTCCAATTCCCATCAGCCCCAGGCAGGTTGGGCAATGGTCAAGAGGATGGGATTTGTAGCCCAACAACCTCTGGGAGGGCTATAGGTACCACATGCTCGCTTTAGTCAATGTATCAGTATTTCAGCTCAGTTCTCATGGTGTGAATCTTGAATTGAAAGTGGATCAGCCTGATGAAAACATTATGGTAACACATCAATTCCCATCCCTGTTTGCAGCATCAAACCATGAAATAGAAGAGTAAGAATTTGTGTTTCATGGTTTGATGTTGCAAAGCAGAGATGGAGTTGCTGGACTCCAGTTCCCATCATCATTGACCATTGACAGTGCTGTCTGGGACTGATGGAAGTCAAAGTCGAACAACATCTGGAGGACAACAGGTTCCCCTGTTCTGCTTTAACATCAACATAATTGGCACAGGACGGTATGCATCTAAATAACTGTGCAGGTGAACTTTCCCCCTTTCCTCTCCCCTGATGTGCCCCCATCACCCCCAGATCTACTGTGGAGGGTTGGGTCAATCACCAGGACAGATTTGGGTGAAGGCAGAGAGGGGGAGAACATTCTGTTGCACAAGAATAAATCCTTGAGATGATGGATCATTCCCATTAGTATTACTCTGAATACAACCCACATATATAAACAGGGAGGGATTGTAAAGAGATGGAGATGGCTTCCATCTGTATGATTCCCCCACACACATGTGTATCATTATTTCCTGCTGTTCAATGTCAAGATCACACAAGAATGTGCGTAACTTACAGCACCATTTTATACCAGGCTACCCAGAAGTATGTCCCAATGGGTTCCATAGGACTTGTTCCCAAGTATTTGTTTATAGGTTTGCACAGTTAGCAGCAAACCACAATAAATAAATACAGAAGTTAAGAGGAGCACCATCAAGATTTAGTGAAAGTCTTTATTCCTTCTCAAATCACCCCAGAGGAATGTTTCTGGGTTCTGAAATACTGAAATATAATCCATACACCTTGGACTTCTTCACAATTTTCAATTTGGGGTGATCAGTCGTTGCACTGGTTATTAGATTCAAGCATGGCATGCACACCAAATAACAATAATTTGTAATTTGAGTTTCAAAAGCAATGGGTACTTAGTCCTAGGAGGACAATATTATTGCTCTTTTCTTTCTCTCTTCATTGCATGATTGCACACAAACACACACAAGAATATTCTTGTACCTCCTGTTCATATACTTGTTACATTACTTTTGTAGTACAGGAAAACATACAAAAACGGTGGCATTATAAAAAGATTGCCCTTGGGAAATTACTTACACTAAGCTAGGGAAGAAAAATGACTTGTTCTTCCACAGTGTGCTTTCGGATATTCACATAAGCATTACAAGCTATGCAAGCCCTTTGCTGCTCCATGAATATCCCTTTCTAGACAGTTAATGCACAAAACATTCAAAAACTACCAGTATTTTCTATATTATCCATATATCTAACCCAAGGTCATAATGGAGGTCTTCCACCTTTGGCTGATCCGCCTAAAAATCTGTTGTGATCTTCTTGCAGCAGACGTTGCTAAAATGTGGGCAATCTGTCTTGATCTAATTTAATTTTTGCTGCAATAACTATTCTTTGTTCAACCTATGCCTAATTGTCACAGTTTTGACACGGTCTATAAATTTATATTTTCAGTTCAGGAAACTCTTGGTTTGTTACCTTTCCTTTTTTCAGTTATTGGATTGGATTCAGACTAAAGATAGTTGACCCTAGCTCCCCTTTAAATCAGTGGGACAAATCAGTAATGACTGGATTTCCATTTGATTTTAGTGGGAACCACACCTGTCCCCAACTCTTAAGCATGTGGGACAGATGTGGGAGGTACTTTGCAAGCACAAAAGAATTATTTCCTTGTTATTGGTTTTAATGCAGGCTGGCTGTGATATGGAGCACTATCTATTGCGAATGTTTCCAGTACAAGGCTGACCAAACTGGAGTTGTGGGAGAATGTTCTGGGCCTCTTTGGACATCACTGATCTTCATTTCAGTGGCTAGAAGTACTGTTTGTCCTTCTTTCAAAGGAAGCACGAAAGTCTCATTTTAGTCTGAGATGATTCAGGGCTCCCCAGTACTGAAAGGCTTTCAGGGCTATTAGTTATCCCCCAACTGTATACATAAGCAATAGCTATGGGCATCCAAGACTACAAACTCCCCCAAAGGGAATGGAAATATATCCACTTGTTTCAATTAATTTGGAGTAGGCTCCCGAAGAGGAAAGTGATAGTACTACAGAGATAGTTTCATAAGCCTGTTCTGTAATGTTTTCTGCTGCAGCTTCCTACCTAAAGGGCTTGTTTACTCTGTTTGGCTGCAAATGCTGCGTCTTATTAAAAGACATTCTTTAGAGTCCAAACAGGGTCTCTTTTCACTCCGTATTGCCTTGGGCAGGCAGAGGATAATGCTTGGGTCCTGGATTGTGCCCCAGAAAGAGCTGTGCAGCCCCCTACTGTGGATTTACAGTGGTACCTTGGTTTTCAAACTTACTCCATTCCGGAAGTCCGTTCCAAAACCAAAGCGTTCCAAAACCAAGGCATGCTTTCTCATAGAAAGTAATGCAAAACGGATTAATCTGTTCCCAACTTTAAAAAACAACCCCTAAAACAGCAATTTAACATGAATTTTACCATCTAATGAGACCATTGATCCATAAAATGAAAGCAATAATCAATGTATTGTACTACAAAATAAATAAGACAGTATTGTAGATGGGGGGGGGGGAATTTTCTTACCTGCACTGATAATAGTCATTGTTTGGATGGGAGGGCTTTTATCCATTTCCACATTCACACAATCAGTAGCTTAACTGGGTTCCACAGTCACAAAAACAAATTAACTGAAAAAGACACAAAAACAAAAATGCAAAATAAATAGCAAAAGCAAAAGCACCCAACTTAATCCGTTCCGTTTGACTTCCGAAATGTTCGAAAACCAAGGCACAGCTTCTGATTGGTGCAGGCACCCGGGAAACAATAGCTGACAACCGCATCAGATGTTTGGCTTCCGAAAAACATTAGAAAACTGGAACACTTACTTCCGGGTTTTTGGCATTTGAGAACCAAGGTACCACTGTAGTTGGGGAGGGTTGCCCTCATGACAAAGTATACAGGACTTCTTCAGGAGCGTTCCAACATCGGAACAGAACTGAGGGCTGGTTAAAATCAGTTTTTCTTAGCCCTCATCAGAGGCCGCTGTTTGGGTAGAGAAAGTATGCAGGGGGACATACTAACCCCCCACCATTTCACAACCAAGGTCTTTCATCATGTGAGGAGCCTCCATGCGAATAGGAGGCTCCCTGTTTCAGACTTTTGTCCTTCTTTAACTTAGAAGGTGATCAGAACAGCAATGGAGGGGGGGTGAAGTTAGTGCCCTTGCCCGTGCCTGACCCCATGTTTACTTTCCCTTACCTGCAATGCCTGAAGATGTCTCATGTGGTGTTTTGGTACTGTGGTGAATGTATGAGTGCTGCTGAATGTATGCTTGGCTGGCTTTTGCACGCAGAAGCTTCCAGACTCAGCTTATAGTGTCTCCAGTTTTGTTTTCATTTCTTTTAAAAAGGAAATCAGGTAGCAGAACTCCTGCCAGGAGTATAACTCCCAGTCTAAGTAGATAATGGCCTGCCTGCCTCATGTGGCTTTCCTCTCTGCTAGTCTAAATGCAAACAAACCAATGTACCAAAAGAGTATTGTGGCTCATGGGGATTCTATTAACAAAAACAGGTGGAATGCCAGTGTGAGGAGAGACCGAAAGTTACTTCAGAATAACCCAAAAGTTAATTTCTCTTTCATCTAAAACTAGAGCAAAGTCTGGTGCATGTGGACTATCCATAACAAACCATATCTGTCTTTTGGACTTAAAATGGTTCTTTTTCAATTACTCTAAACATGGAGGAAGCAGCTGCCTGATTTCAGAGGACAGGTATAATTTCAAGGAAAAGAGATGCAGATGTTAAGAACATCTGGTCAGCAAGTAGTTGAATGGGAAAACCATGCTGAAGAATGGGGAAGAGTGAAGAGCTCCACCCTAGTCCCTGTAGTGACTGCTACATCCTCTTCCACAGACTTTGTTTGCTGCTAAATTGATTTGACAATTAGGAAGTCCAGGCAGTACTCGGTGAAATGGACTTTGGTTTGGGGGCATCCAGTTGCTGATCTCTGATGTATCCAATACCAGCCACTCCTATCCCTAAAATTCATCGAGGGCAAGGAGTTTTGCTCATGGTTCCTGCTAGGATTCACTCTGTGGAGATTACAGGGCCTTTTTAATAGTGGCACCCCAACTTTGGAAGATTCTCCCCTGGAACCATGTTTGTCTCCTTGCCTGTTTATATTTAGATGTCAGTCAGGGGTGCCAACTTGAATGAAATATTGTGGGGGCCCAGGTAAGCCCCACCCCACGTAATCATGACACAGTGCACACACACAATTTGAATGGCAATGCCCATCAAACTTGCAGGAGCCAAGCCTCCTCAAATATTTTATTGTGGGGGCTGAAGCCCACATGGCCCCATGGGGTCGGCTCCTGTGATGTCAGTTAAAGACATATGTGAGTACCCAGGCTTTTATAAATCAAGGCTACTTGTTTTGATGCACAACAGCTGGAAATGGTTATTGCATTTTAATGGTTATGATATTGTACAGATATTTATGGCTGTTTGCATTAGTTTTATTTATTGGATGTATTTTGTTGCTCTGCTTTATCACCCTGGGATCCTTTGGGAGGGAGGGCAATTCAGAAATCAAATAAATAAGCAAGCAACTGGCTGTGAAGAAACAGGAGACAAAAACAGCACAATACACCACAGAAAACATCATATCTGCAGATGCTTTTCTGGAAGTCTGGTAAGGCAATTCTGGCTTGGGGTGTATCAGATGGGATAGAGATAGATCAATTTCGATAATCTATTCACTGTTCCATTTCGTTGTTTTCTTTGACAGAATGTAGACCAATTGTGACGTGCGATGGTACAGGAAACAATTTACACTTTCCTGAATTATGCTGGATGGGGAAAATATTCAAATGCTAAAGCAGAGAACTTACGGCATATGTGTTGATGCTTCTTTTTGTATTTACCTTCCCCCCACCCCCTTTCAAAGGTTGTAACCACATGATTGCAGGCTTCAAATCCCTGAAGATTGTAAAGAAGTCTGGAGACACACAGGGCTCATGGCTGAAGGACCCCATCAAGAACCCCCAAAAGATCTATTTCTTAACTGGGGTAAAGAACAAAATTGTAATGGAGTTTGCAAATATCCGGGCTTTTACTGAAAGCGGTGAGAAACAGTCAGCTCGCAGAGTTAACCTGCCTTTTCCCTGGCAAGGGACAGGCCATGTTGTATATGACGGTTTTCTGTTTTATCACAAATTTGGCTCCTTAAATGAGATAATTAAGTTTGACATTCAGAAAAGAAATGTAACTGGCCAGCTGCTGCTGTCAGGAGCAGGAGAAACCTTCGCCTATGATCTTCTTCCTTCCACTAAGATAGACCTAGCTGTGGATGAACTGGGATTGTGGGCAATCCACACAGAGCCAGATACTGGTAGAAAGCTGGTCATTTCTAAAATCAACTATGAAACCATGGCCGTGGAATATACCTGGGACACATCCTGCAAAAGCCAGAATGCCGAAGCGGCTTTTATGATGTGCGGCGCCCTGTACGTAGTGTACAATTCACCAGGGGGAGGTACGTCTCACATCAAGTGCATTTATGACACCTTAGATGCCATCAATCCTTATGAAATCCCGACGCTTCCTTTCCCCAAACGCCAGACGAGTCACTCCATGGTGCATTATTACCCCAGAGAAAAGCAACTCTTTGCCTGGGATAATGGATCCCAGGTCATTTACAAGCTACTGACAAAGCTAAAAAATTAATAAAAGCAACAACATAAAAATCTCTATACTAAACAACTTGCCAGTGTAAATATGGTAATGAATTTACAAGTACTAGTGACTGAGAGGTTATTTTTTTCTGCTTGCCCATAGTTTACACTTATTTTTACTCTTTATTTTGCCTTTAAAAAAGAAGATTTTTCACCCCTTTCCCCTAGATTGGTGCAGTGCTCTGGAATGGCCTTTCCCTTCCTTGCAAACAGAGCCAACTTTCTGAGGCAGCAACCTGAATTTGGTGGCAGATTGGGAGGGAGGCGGCAAATCAACAGGTTAGGGTGGCTGAGGAAGTGAGAGAAAGAGAAGGTGATACTGGTTGGTATCCCCCTCTCTCCTGATAAGAACTTGCATGAAAGTGGCCCCCAACTTTTCTCGCAGGCTCCTATAAGATCAGTATAAACAGTTAGACCTGGTGAGCATTTAAGGTCCCCATCCCTAATTTGCGGATTGCCACCTGATTAGATTTCACTTTGATTCTGATTTGATTTTAGGATGTATTTAAATTGATCATTTGATTTTATGGTAATATGTTATATATTTAATGTTAGCCGCTCTGAGCCCGGTTTTGGCCGGGGAGGGGCGGGTATAAATAAAAATTATTATTATTATTATTTGTGAAAGAGACAAGCATGTAATTCTTGGCCTGGGCACAAGGGAGAATAGTACATAGTTACTGTTGTTTTGCTGCAGCCACACAACATTATACAGACTGGTTGCTTTCAGTCCCCCTTCTCTCCCAGCTATCTTTCTCTTTCCTTTCCTGCTCATTTTCCCCCCACCTCTGTTCCCACCCAGAACTTCTCTTTCCCTGGAATAAACAGGGAGTCCCATTCAGTGTGGAATAATGGCTTGTTACTTGTAGGTCTGATTAGCACCTGGGAGACTAGGGTTCAAATCCCCACTCAGTTGTGTAGCTCACTGGTTGACCTTGGACCAGACACTCATTCCCAGCCTAACCTGCCTCACAGGGTTGTTGTGTAAGGATAAAGTGGGGAGGAGGAGAACTATGTCCTCCACTCTGGAGTGCCTAGGAGAAAAGGTGGTATATATAGGCAATAAAACAAAATAAATAAAGCCACACCATAGATATAGCACACTTTTAAGGCACAAGACTGCCCCAGAGAACTGTAGTTGGTTACAGGTGCTGGGAATTGGCTCTGTGAATGGTAAACTCTGGTTCCCAGGGTTCTTTGAAGAAGGCCATGTGCTTTAAATGTATTGTTTGGATATGACCAGGGATACCATTGGTGTTCTACTTTAACAGCAAAATGACTTGCGGTACCACAGCAAACAGATGGTCAGCAGAGGGGGGCGGGGGACAGAGGGGATTCCATAACTGCAGCACCAAGTACTTCAGATCAGGTTTCCCACTGTAAACATGCAATAGGTTACAGGCAGTTCCCTCTTGACAGCAGTCTCCTGCACATGTGGTCTTCTCCTGCAGCATGTTTGAGTGTGAGAGTTGCCCTCTCACTAGACTGGGACCTAGGTATAAAATTCTGACTGCTCTTGTAGCGCCTTTTAATTCTGATACATTTTAATGGAGCACAGCGAGTAACTCTACATTCCACCATGTAGACGCATGCTATCTATATAATGTTATAGCAAACAGTGAACTTGTTTGTACTGTAGAGGATATATTTTTAAAAATGTAAAATAAAAGATCTATATATTGGCACCCTTGGCTCTTGATATTTAAGATGGTCAGAATTCCAGGTTATTAGCCAGAGCAAATAATGGAGGTGGGGGACAAAAATGAGCTGCTGTGACGGAGCCAGTCTCAACTGAAGCTCATCACCTGGAAGGCAAGCTATAATTCAATTCAGAGCAGGTATATTTAGAAAAGTGGTAGAATGATTAGGGAAGTGGTGTTTTAGTACAAGACTCAATCCAGTTGGTCGGTGTTAAATATCTGCTCCTGTGAAATGTTTGCAATGTGAATCATCGTAGGACACTTGAAAAGTCAATCGGAAATAGTAGGGCTCTTGAGAATTCATAATAAACAAGAGGGGCTTGTGAAGTGTTTAGAGACACATTTATGAAAAGGATGTCTAATCTGAGTAAGTCAATTAACACCAGTTTAAACAAGGCCCGATAAAATAAAACTTTTGTCGTGGGGAAGTGATTTATATAAAGATTTTATGCCTGATTAGCCTGGATGTTTGAACTCACATCTTGACACTATTTCTTCAACCCATGTGGAATTACTACTAGTACCACCACCACCACCACCACCACTACTACTACTACTACTAACAACAACAACAACAACAGATTAGGCAATCAGTCCTTTTGAATTTGCTTCTTAATACTTCAAGCAAAAATGGTTAAGCTAAACATTTCCTCCTTACCTTTGGTTTTCTTCTAAATAGCCCAACAAATTGCTATGCTTGCTTGTTCCTGGGTGATGCTAAAAAAGCTACAGTCAGGCTTCTTCACAAGTAAATGTGTTTTGGAGGACATCATTTAATAGGGTTTTACACGTTTGCATAATTGGTATCTGTCTAGGGCTCTTATGATGGGCATGTGTGAGAGCAAATTTGGATAAATAAAACAAGGGAAGGCTATTTCCAGCTCAGCTCTAAATAAAGCACCATGAATAATGTATGCTCATCTTGGAAGGCAGGCTTTTGATTTTAAACATATGTGCGTTAGATATTCATTCCCGTTCTTCTGCAGTGTTTTGGTGTAAAGTGAAGTTAATACTTCACAGGAGACAACATGCAAATTAAGGTCTGCCCGCCTGCAATCTGTGGTCCAGAACAGAGATGATCATAGCAGTTATGGTAGTACCTGGTACAAGGAGAGAGTTTTCCAGCTGTGCAACTGAATGTAAGAAGAATCCTGCCAGGTCCATACAAAGCTTCATCTTTTTCAGCATACTGATTCCCATGATCCCTGAGTCCATGATCAATAAGCCTCTCCCACTGTTGTCTCCAACAACTGGCATTTGCTAGCATATTATTCCTAAACATGGAGTTTTGTTACCCAGTCATCATGGCTAAGAACCGCTGACATACTTACCCAACATAGATTTGTCAAATCTTTTTAAAGCTGTCTAAGTTAGTGGCCATCACCATATGCTACGACAGGGAATTACGTAACAGAAGTGTGCACTGTGAAGTATCCTTCCTTTTGTCTCTCCTGAGCCTACGGTTGATCAATTTATTTTGGTGACCCCAACTTATTTTGAAAGAGGAAGAAAGCTTGTTTCATCTAACCACTTCCTTCACACCTGCATAATTTTCATATAGCCCTATTCACACACTTGGTCAAACATGTGTGAACTTAAAGTGAGGAGAGGGGTGTGTGAACATGCACATAAAATATTTAAAGCATGTTGCATTGTTTGATATTTTTACTCCTCTGCAATTGGCACAGTGGGCATTAGATGGCAGCAAATCATTGCCTTTGCTCGTCTTCCTCCAGAAGCTGTTTTAAACCAGTCATAGAGTACGTTCAGACTGTTAAAAACCTGTTTTTAGTGAAGTATTATTTCAGAAAATCCTGGCGTCGTCCCTCAAAAATATACTTCTGCTCAAGAGAGGTTGTTCCCATGGGCATAGCCAGGGTTTCCGTTGGGGGGGTTAGGCTTTTGTGAGGGGGTCGGAACCTCAGATTTGTATTGATTTTGATTGATTTAGGCCTGCCCCCCTTGGCTACGTAAGTTGTACTAGGCACAACTTGTTCCCCAGTAAAACTGCAGTATTTATTTACTGGGAAAATGCAGTGCCCCAGCCCCTGGCTCTGTAGGACGGCAGTTACTCAAGTGTAACGGGCACCTTTTGGATAGTGCCTGTGACTTGACTAATAATGTCTGACACAAATTCTTCCCACGTGTGTGAGGAGGAATTGCAATGTAGCAGTAGAAATCCTCCATCACCTCATGTACTTTGTGAATATCTGAAAAAAGATCCTGTGTAGACAGCTGGTCTTTTTTCTTTTCTTTTCCAAAATAGAAGGCTTTAGCACTGTTTTAGCATGAATTCCATACAAAGTCATTATCATTTACTATATTGTTGTCAACATACCTTAAGAAAATGACAGAATGAATGGCAACGGCAATTAACTAGCAGCAAAATTTAGCTGCTGAAAGACTTCATAAATTAATTCCAGAAACTAAAACCCAGGAAAGAATAATTTTTAAAAGGTAGAAGGGGAAATACTTTGGTGGGGTGATTCAAGAGGAGAGATACTGTTTCTCTGTTCCTGTCTGTCTGTTCCCCATCTACCTCACTCTACCCCACAACTCTTCTTGGAAAACTGAACTTCCTATTCTTTTTTTTAAATGCACCCCATTGTTATTGGGGGGAAACAGACATCTAATACGAACAGAAGTTTCTTTGTGACATTAGCATGTCTCCACTGTGGCCGAACTGAAACAAATAATTCTTTGTGACTGTGAAAAGGAGTCTCAGCATGATCAATTAGCCAAGAGACCAGAACAGCTGGGAGAGCACAAGGTCCAAGAACAGCTGAGCCTTTAATCTGCAGTGACCAAAAGTGCCATGCTTGGGTATGTGTTAAATAGCACGCTTATTTTGCCACTGTGCTTGGACTTGTAGATGTCAGCTGTGTATGGTGGGTTGCGAAACAGAATACACTGTTAATGTACTATTGAGGTCATGTGGGTCTCTGACAATGTATTAAGAGAGTTACAGGAGAAACTTCCACTCCCATTCTAAATTCTTCAGAGCTCTGATATTCACATTTGACTGGGGCAGGAGTCTTTGAGGAAAGACAAGCGCAAGTTGGGAGAATGCCATTTCACTCATGTCTGGCTTATGGAATTTGGCTCCTTCAATAAAGAGCTCATCAGCACGGACTTATTTCCTCTGCTTCTGGATATTTCATGGAGCCAATGATGAATTGTAGATAATATATGGGAAGAAGAGAGTCTGTTGTCTGACCAAAGCTGCATTTGAAGAGGTGACCAACATTGCTGATAATGCATCGTTTGAGATCTGGGCGACCAACTTCCTGTTAACTCAAAAGAGTTCTTCAGAATGCAAGCTTTGGCTGTTTGCTGAGAAGATACTCTAGGACAACCAGAAATAATCACCATTGGCACACAATAATGAATATGCACTCCAACAGGTGAGAGGTTTCAGAGGGGCAGCATTCCTATCGCAAAGTGATCACTGAAGATTTATTGGTGCTTTGTTACATTTGGCACTTATTCTACAAAGATACAGGTTGACCATAGGTGTAGGTACAGGATTAAACACCCCAACAGTCCCCCCACATCAAGTCTTCTAGGGAAGACTACCAATACTTTCAAAGCCCCCTGGCCCAGCCCAGCCCTGTCCTTTTTTTCCAGCTCCAGAGCTCCCAATTTTTCCTTCTTAATTTCCTCCTTAAAGAGAAACCTGGATTGCCCCATCCTTTAGAGAGAAGAAAAGGTGCCCCCCCCCACTTCAGAGCAGTCTGTTTGCTCACTGTCTAGACATTGTGAGACAACTATTGACACCTTCCTTGCAAAGCTTTGCAAAGTCACCCAGACCAATCCCCCAAATTATAACAATATGAATATTCAGAATTCAATGCACTTCCTGACAGCGGAGGAAAACGGCAGAACCAAACACAAATTCATTAGACACACTCTCTCTCTTGTCCAGTGCCAGATTTACATATAAGCTAAACAAGCTATAGGTTAGGGCCCCGCTCTCTTGGGGGCCCCCAAAAAATTTAAAGGAAAATAAACTGGATGTACATTTCCAAAATATAAGATAAAAACAAATAAAATAAAACCTACATACAGCAACAGTATTTTGTGTTGTGTATGCTCCTATTTGTTATGTGCAAATTGCTTTAGATACCTATTAGGTCCATAAATTACCATATGTATTCAACACAAATAAGGGATGCGGGTGGCGCTGTGGGTTAAACCTCAGCGCCTAGGACTTGCCAATCGCATGGTCGGCGGTTCGAATCCCCGCGGCGGGGTGCGCTCCCGTTGCTCGGTCCCAGCGCCTGCCAACCTAGCAGTTCGAAAGCACCCTTGGGTGCAAGTAGATAAATAGGGACCGCTTACCAGCAGGAAGGTAAACGGCGTTTCCATGTGCGGCTCTGGCTCGCCAGAGTAGCTTCGTCACGCTGGCCACGTGACCTGGAAGTGTCTGCGGACAGCGCTGGCCCCCGGCCTATAGAGTGAGATGGGCGCACAACCCTAGAGTCTGGCAAGACTGGCCGTATGGGCAGGGGTACCTTTACCTTTACCTTTACCTTTATTCAACACAAAAAACAGCAACAATTTGTTGTTGACAAAGGACAATTTGTTGTTGACAAAGGACAGCTGGACATATAAAGGGCCCCATTACCTTCAGTAGCTTAGGGCCTCATCCGGCCCTGCTCTTGTCATACACATAGTTGAGAAATATCAATGGGGAGAAAGGTGGGATGCAATTTTAAAACACCCACACACAGGCTGCAATCCTAACCTCATTTAACCGGAAGAAAGCCTCCATTGAATTCAATATGACTTACTTCTGAGTAGACAAGGTTGGATTGCATGAGATAGACTACAAACATTTTTTAATCATTCAATTGGGACTGGAGATGATCTTAAAAGCAAGCTATAGATCCTATGTGGGGAATCTTTGACCTTCAAGATGTTGCTGAGATACAACTACCATCAGCACCAGATGATGGCTAGGAACATACAGTACTATAATGCT